ACATTGTTGATGGATTTGGCAACAATTTTAGACTAAAATTTAAATAAAAACAACTATTGTTCTGGACTTCTACATATTTTTATTTCCACGAAGATTACATATTTCCTGTTTAATTTTTAATTGCAAAATTAAAAGAAAAAAATAAAAGCTGAAAACTTGTTTGTTTTTAATAATAAAGCTACTGGTGTTCATAATTTTGCCGTCAACGCTAACTTTTATAAAGCATTTTATTAAATAAAAATCTCATTTTGAAATGTTAATGCAAGTTATTTCTGGATAAATATAGCGATGACTAATCTATACTTTACATTATAAAGAGGAATGATTTGTATTTTTTTATGTATTGGAATAATTCAAAAACTACTGGGCAGATTTAAGAAATTCTTTCATCATTAACAAGCTACGTATTCAATATTTTAAAATCTTTAGACCGCTTGTACACCCACGAACATCTCCATAAGCAGAGTTTTGTTGCCAGTTTCTCCCAAATTGGAATAAAACCACAAACACTTGACCAATCCGCTAAGAGAAAGCCATAAACAAGAAATAGAATAGATTACAATAGAACAAGCTACGTTATCAGTGAGTAACATAGCCTTTTTTTAAACACGCGTGCGAAGTCACGGGTAACAACTAGTATTAAATGGGATTGTTTTTTAAATAAAACACATTGTTACATTATATACTCTCTAATCACTCTATTTATTAAAACTGCTTTAAAATCCGTTGCATAGTTTTATAGATCTAAGAATACATAGGGACAAACAGACAGTAGGAAGCGACTTTCTTTTATAACTAGCTGTTCCCGTGCGGCTTCATCCGCATGTAATTATGAACATTTTATTTTATTGTTTACATTTGTCAAATTATCAATAGCAAATGTCAAAATGACATAACATGACAAACCTTGACAATCTTGCTTCCTTGATGTTGGCAACAACTTTTGGTCTCTTTCCCACATTAGGGTTTTTATCCAAAATGTTTACCCGCGTGAAAATAGATAGCCTAAAGCCTGACGTAAGTTTAGGGCTTTTTATTAAAAAAAGAATCATTCGAAATTATGCTGTAATTGCTGACATCTTAGGCAACAAATAAGTGTGTGTTTACGCTTTATTATAATAGTATAGATATGTTGTGGTTGTACTTAAACAAATAAATAAATAAAGAAGTAAGATTTGTCAAATTGAAGACAGTAAATATTTAATCTGTCCTGAACACAGGTAACTTTCCAACCAAACGAGTTACGGAGTTAACAATAACAAAAAAAAAACGCTAACACATTCAGAACGACGTGCAGTTCGAGCGTAACGGGTTCAGAGTTGCCAGGCGAAAACTCTTTGTGTTGCCACCACTGTGAATAATTAAATATTATTATTCGACGAGCGCCGCGCTGTTGCCGCCTCTATTGTATGCCAATTGATACAAACGCTAATGTTACCATTATACAAAAAAAATAGAATTTAACACTAGCTGTTGCTCGCAACTTCTACCGGGTAAATTAAAAATATAATTAAAAATACAGCCTATGTTATTTACAGATAAATTACCTTTCTATCGGTGAAAGAATTATTAAAATCGGCCCTGTAGTTTTTGAGTTATTTCAATACAAAAAAAAATTCAAATCTTTCCTCTCTATAACATTAGTATAGACATTACACTTTTAATAAATTAATTTTAAATATACAATTATAAAGTAGTACAAAATACGATTCAAGGACTTAGCAATTTTTTTATTATAATTAGCGTATATAGGAAAATCTTCAGTATGAATTAAAAAATCTTTCCGTCGTTACATAAAATTATGGTCATCCTATCGCCACCGGTATTACTCTCATTGTTGTTTTGTTGTAAGTTTTTAGAAGGGTAATGTGATTTTGTATGAATTTAATTGTCCTGCTGTAACAGTAAGCCAGTGCCTTAACACTGTCCTAGTAATTTAGTTACGTTACGTCCCAAAAAACGCACGTACAAGGCATACTTATTTAGTGTTTAGTGTCCGTGGTAGGTGGCGCTAATCGAAAATATCTTAACTCTAAACTAGAACTAAAACCTAAAAATGATTTGTACATTTAGTTATTAAACTGGCGTTCGCCCGCGACTTCTTCCGCGTGGAATTAAAACAAAAAGTAGCCTATGTGTTCTTCCAGACTATCCTCTACGTCTATGTCAAACTTCATCGATATCCGTTCAGCCGTTTAGGCTACAAACTCTAACAAACATCCATCCATCTTAACTTTCGCATTTATAATATTAGTAAGAGTAAGATTCTGCGCTGACAGAGTCGAGGGCAAATGCTAGTAATTATAATAATAACAGATTAAGGTATGCTTTTTCGGTAATAAAGCACTGAAAACTTTTACGTGTTCGTAACCGCGGCTACCTGTGCTCAACGCAATAAAAACACCATAAAAACCTCCATTAAGACCACTTTAGGAGGAAGCCATTGAGGGTAGTAAAAAAAATTGTATTGTTTCCGAATGTCGCGTCGCTTATGGAGATCGTAAAATTCATATCGATTGTTAATAAGACAGAAAAAACAAGGAAAATTGATGTGCGATTTCAGAACACAATATCCTCACCCTTATTATACAGGGTGGGTCATAAAACTGCTCCCACCTATTTTGCAGTCGTAAAAGCGCGTCGTAAATTTCTCGTCACAAATGTGCCTCTTTGTTGGCTGGTAGATAGGACCGACTCCCTGATTGCAGCCCCTACCGTATAATCTCACACGATAAGTCTGCCGATACTTACCAAGTGCTGCAAGTGTCAACATGTTTTATCGTATCGATACTTTTTATAAGTTGCGCTTTCTTTTTATCGATATAAAAATCTATAAAGAAGCGTGTTCGTAAATATCGATACCGTTGTTGAAAAATTAGACGTTTACCAGCCATCAATTAATTGTCTTTCGAAGTATAAACAATTACATTTTATCGATATTGTCAAAACTGTTACCGATTCTTGTCAAATAGGTCATAGAAAAGTAAAAAAGGTTTTCTAACGTAGTGTAAATAATTCAAGGCCCGTTTTAAATGCAACAATGCGATTAGGAGTAATATTGTATAGTTCCTTATATGCTATACAATAGTCTTGTTTCAATTTACTGTTAGAGAATATTATTAAATCATTATTTATTTAAAACTTAAATGTTAAACGTATCATTGATAATACTTTATTTTATTCATACGGTATTTAAAATTGTGATGTTCAAATAAATTATATCGATAACTACATTTTGTTGACAATGTAACATCACTAGATGTAGAGAAAAGGTTATGTTCGACATAATCTTGCGTTCCCTCGCCGCGGCCATATTGTTTTTAAGCCGCAGCAGATTTGGACAATGGCGCGGAAATCTCGTGGCAAGTTATTGCTGTGCTTCACAGTAATGGCGATGTGGGGTGGCCAGAGCTAAATATGTAAATATTCTAACCTACTGTTCGTTATAAAGTTGAAGTACACAATAGAGCACGCATCATAAAGAACTTATGTTTAAAATTACGTAACAATTTTTGACACTAAGAAAACCATGGAGTAAACTATAGATTGAGTGGTTTGATGTAACGTATATCGTGATCCAAATGTCATTTTGAATTGCTTGAGACACTAATTGAATCTACACCAACAAAAAGAGAAGTCTTTTTTTCGTTCCAACTTTTGTTAAGTCTAGAAAACCTTTACTTATTTAAAATATAGACGTAATATACGATAATGATGTAATTAATTTCAAATATCCAATTGACTATATTACTCCTTTCACGTAAATTCCTACAAAATAACTCCACTATTTAGTAATTAGAACAGGACAATAAACGTCTCGTAAAGACCAATTCATAATCGTAAAACAAGTCATTCCACGAAAGTAGAATTTAATTTAATCACGAACTACCCTGCCTGCCCTGCGACAACAACCCTCTGGGAGGGATAAGGGTGGGCTCTCATTGACAAGGCTCCATTGAGAGGAAAGAACCAATAAACTTGAGCTCCCGAATCGCACCAACACAAGGGAATATCAACGAAACTGGGCGGCTCCTCGAGGTCAGGCTTCTATTGATCGCTACCCTCCCTATATCTACCAGTTTATTGAGACCCCGTATAATAGATATTCTGTCACTTATTGAAGCTCTTGTTACATCAGTCGTTGATTATTACGAAATTCTTTGTTACCGTTTGTGTGTTTTATATTTATGAGAAATATTTTATTATTTTATTCGATGGTTGAACTAAAAGGCTTTATTGTTTATGTAACTTTCTCTATATAGATTGGTTCTATATCAAAAGTTGTAAATTTATTAAAATCAACAGTAAAGTTGGAATTACTAATATTATAAATGCGAAAGTTTAGATGGATGGATGTTTGTTAGTTTGTAGCCTAAACGACAGAAAGGATCTCGATGAAATTAGACATAGACGTAGAGGTTAGTGTGAAAGAACACAACGGCAACCCGATTTTGATTGATTTATCTCCTCGCGGACGGAGTAGCGGACGAAAGCTAGTTTGAAATAAAGTAACATTTTTATTTTCTAAAATTCTCTTTTGTTTAGTTAATGATTAAACTGGTAGATAAAAATTAGAGGTTATATTTTCAAATGACGTAATATTTTAATTTGACACATAAAAAGCGCGCGGCAACAGCTGTCAATGTCACTGTAATGTCATAAAGTGATTGATTAATCAACTTTTTACGATACTGTTCAATAAGCGTGATGTATTGAATAGAAAATTATTTCCATTATTTTTTTTACAACCGGTCTGTAAATTAAATCGTTTTTGTCCTTTTCATTATCCAATTTAATACACCGTGACGAACATATAGACAGCTAAATTCATCATTTAGGTACTTTTTTTATAATGATAAAAATATATTTTCTACTTTCGCAGAGATAAATTATTGTTAGTTATTTTTCCAATAATTGACGACTAAATTACGACCATTTAGATACAAGTTCTCGAAGCGAGCGAACGAACATAGCCGAACGTAACCCGAGCGCCGCGCGCCCCGCTCACCGCAGTCGGCTCGGCGCGCCACCGAGCGAACACATCGCGAATTCACGTTCGTGCGCTCCGCGATCATTAAAACCTACTCAAAAAAAAGTTATTGTTGAATCCTGGCCGTTTTTATGCAACTAGGATTTTTAATCTATGCATTTGACGTTTTGCTTTCAAAGTCATAAGTTGAAGTACCTTTATTCGTGTTTTGCATATTTTGTGTTGTATACATTATGGTGGACGTAGAATGGACTAATGATTTAATTATAAAATTAATGACAGAGTATAGAAAGAGACCGGAACTTTGGGATAGCCACCACGAGTTTTACCGAGTGAACACAGCTAAATACGAAGCATGGTCGGAGCTGGCGAATATCTTTGAATGCGATATCGCCGACTTGAGGAAGAAAATGAATTCAATATTCGCTTCGCATCGTCGCGAGAAGGCGAAAGTGCGTTGTGGGGGACGATCGACTTGGTTCCTTTACCCGCATATGAATTTTTTACCTACACATATAGAAAACGATGAAACAAGTCCGGCGGTAAATTGAATTGTGTTTTATATTTTCCATATGATAAAAAGACAATAAAAACAGAGATGTGTATATATTTAAATTTTCTCTGTACATCTTTTAAAATATTGGGGTAATATTACCTAATCGATCTTCAATACTCTTTGAATTTGAACTCATTAGTTCTAACTGAAGTCATAAACATTTCTATTACAAGATACATTGAACGTTTAATTTCCTTGTTTACTGTGTGACACGTGAATTGATCTAATATATTGTTAGTTTGTTTTTCGGTTAGTTTTATCACACAGTGTGACCCTGACATAGTGATATGGTAACACACTTCGTAGGTACGTTATTATTTATATAGTTTGATAATGTGACCTTAATGGTCGGACAATTTTACAGCTTATCCTTCAAGAGAACAGAAAATTAATTTGAATAAAGACATAACAAAAGTAATTCATCATTATCCAATATTTGGCATATTCCTTCCGCTATGTGAGTAATTAAAATGCTGTAAAGCTTAAGTGGTAGAGCCCTTAATATCTACGGTGTGAATAGAAAGCAGTTTTATGTCTCGTCTGATGAGTATGAGGCTTAATTTAAATCCCTTTCCCTTCACATTTTTTTGTAAGGGAAGAATTAGAAAGTTTGATGGTGGTGAAGACGCATAAGAAGAAGAAATATCCTCTTTATGTGCGTCATTTCTATCAATTAAGGGTAGGTTGCAATTGCAGATATTTATGTATTTATTTTTTTTCAACAGAGTGAACGACGTAGACGAATTTTGAAAATACCAGTAGAAGAAACAGATGATTATTCAAACATCGACAACACAGATATCGACGATAATTACGAACCGGAAACACAAGAGGAAATAATCATTAAAACAGAACCGATAGCAGAATATACAAAAGTGAAAGCAAAACATGAATCAAAACATACGACACGGAAACCGAGATTGAAAAAAGTTTTAAAACGTAGAATAATTAAAAATCATAATGACGAAGATAAAAATAGACTAATAGAAACTATACGATTGTTAAGAAGATCAGATTTATTGAAGAAGAAGGATGAATGTGACAGTTTTGGAGAATACATCGCTGATTCATTAAGAAAACATGATGAGAGAACACAATCAATGATTAAACAAGCTATAAATAATATATTATTCGAACAAGAAATGAAGAAATATAGTACAAATCAATATACGGTAGTAATACCTGGTATTGATGAAAATCCACTTATTTTAACAGAAGAGAACGGTGTAAAGTAAATAAATGCATAATTTACAGAGCTTATAATTCATATACTAATCAAATCCTTTTATTTATAGAAACAATCAAGTAAATTACTTGATTTTAAACGAAAAAGACAGCCTTGTTGTCAGTCTTTGTATATAAATTTGGACATCAGACTTTAAAGTTTCCTGAGAGCAAGTAACTTTATTATGGATTTACATATCTTATTAAAATTATAAATGCGAAAGTTAAGATGGATGGATAGATGTTCCTCTGGTATGGATGTCCATGGGCATCGTTGACTACATCGGTGTTCTCTCCCCTATTATTATAAAAAAAGATGTTGGTAAGAGTTTTCCGCTTAAATGGCTGAATGAATCTTGATAAAATTTGACATAGATATAGAGCATAGTCTGGAAGAACATATTGGCCACTTTTCTTTCTTTTTTAATCCATTTGGACGAAATCGCGGGCAAAAGCTAGAGTATATATGTAATGAGTACAAGACAAACTTGATAATCTAGAATTGAACTCAAATAGTATACTAAGGTAAAGAGTAATAATTGATTATAAAATTGAACGCTTCCATAAACATGTGTAGAATGACGTCATCAAGGTCATTCATTGTTTACGGTTACTTTGTCCTATTATATCCTATATCCGGTTCGGAAGATTTTGCACATTTTTTTCTAGAATAGAACGGAAGACGAATTAGAATAATTGTTTAATTCCAATAAAACATACAAACGTATTGGTAACTAGTTTCTTTTGGGAACTTCATTAAAAAGATGTAAAGGGTGAAACAAGGCAGGATTTTTCGAATTTACAAGTATAATATTAGCGAACTTAAAGTCTAAATGTTGCTAACTGTCGCCTAGTGCATTATTCTCGTAATAAATCTACACTAAGGAGAAAAGAACTACAGTTACTGTTTGAGCAATTGCTACAAAAGAACACATTGTTAGAGAAATTCAACACTGATATACAGACCTTTGTTAAAATGGCTGTAAATACTCTTATGAGAAATAAAAAAATTGCTATTACAGTGTTAAACTGTCTTTAAAAAGCGTACAATTTGAACATCGATGTAATATATATCAATATATTTAGTCACGCACTCAACGTAAAATTTCCGCCCGTGTTTTTGTCAATCCGTCACTATCTAGTACAGATGGCTACGTGAGCCGTCGCACGACCGTGCCTCCATCTTTAAAAACGACAATTTCAAAATGTACACTATCCATGCTCGCTTTAAACCAAGCAATAATTATAAGAGTTAACAAAACCAGCAATTTATATTTTACATATAAAATGCACTATACGTTTTAAAACTGCAGTGTAAATGATTACAAGTTGCGTGTCTGAAATTGCATCAGCCATTTTTTTTTATTCTATCCATTGCTGGTTTTGTATAGACTTTTTCTTATTATTGTCTGTTGTGTGCGGTATTGTATATCGTTGTTTGTTGGCAGTCGTGAATTAGTTAGAGGTGCATTAGAGCAAGACTAGATCACGCCACTATACGTCACAAGCGCTATTATTTTTGCTGCAATCGAATAAATTGGACAATAATTGATCACGTAGCTTTTTGCTTTGTAACTTTGCCTTTTATGTCTTCTGAGTCATATACCTAATAGAATAACCTTAGTGTTAATTGTTATGCACTAGAACTAAATAAAAATAAAGGCAACTAAAAGTCAATTTCGAACTATTTTTCTTTGCTGGTAATGTTGTTATTTTCGTCGTCGTAATTTTTTTAATAGCTTCCAAATTATCACAAATAAACACACGCACACTTCTTTGTTGCCTAAGATGTCAGCAATTACAGCATATTTTTGAATAATACTTTTTTAAATAAAAAGCCCTACACTTTACGCTTTAGGCTATATATTTTCCCGCCATTAAACATATGGGGTTAATATTTTGGATAAAACCCCTAATGTGGAAAAGATACCATAAATTGCTGCCAACATCATGGAAGCAAGGTTGCCATGGTTTGACATCATGTCATGTCATTTTGACATTTGCAATTGAGAATTTAAAAGCGGAACCGCTAGCTATATATATTATAAAGGGGAAAGATTTGTATTTTGTATTTATTGAAATAACTCAAAAACTACTGGGCCGATTTCAAAAATTCTTTCACCGTTAGAAAGGTAATTTATCAGTGATTAACATAGGCGTCTTATTATTTTTTAATTGCAGCGGACAAAGTCGCGAGCAGCAGCTAGTTTTATGTAAAGTTAGTTTTCGTATTAAAAGGATTAAATACTTCTAAGGTATTTTTTGTTAGTATTACGATCTTATGAACTACTAGCTGTTCCCGTGCGGCTTCATCCGCACGAAATTATGAAAATTTTATATATTATTGAAAGCGTGACATAGGTGTAGGGATATTTATTAAAAATATAATTATTCAAAAATATGCTGTAATTGCTGACATCTTAGGCAACAAAAAAGTATGTGTTTACGCTTTATTATAATAGTATAGATGAATCATGACATGCATTTTCTGTTCATTGTTTCATACATTATCCATTTTCCAGTAAAAATATGGCTGATTTACATTGAATGGATGGCGTGTTGGTTTTGCTGTTCCAAACGCATACTATATCAATGCAAAATCGTGTGAAATGAATGGGTAACTTTCATACATATACTAAAATTATAAATGCGAAAGTTTAGATGGATGGTTGTTTGTTAGAGTTTGTAGCTAAAACCGCTGAACGGATATCGATGAAATATGGTATAGATGTAGAGGATAGTCTGGAAGAACACATAGGCTACTCACTTTTATTATTTTTTATATGTTTTATTCCACGCGGAGTCGTAAGCGAAAGTTAGTAGTCACATTTTATTGTAGAGTATGAAACTTTTTACGCATAGAGTTACTTAACAGTAGTAGAGCTCTGATTTAGATTCCACGACCACCCAGAAGACAGACGTCAAGTGATTTGATGAGCATGCATTCTGGAGGCAAAATGTATTCCCCCTTTTCTTAAAAGAAAAGGATGGGAAAGGATAGTTGATGTTAGTGTAGGAGACGCATAGGAAGGTGAAATATCCTTTTTAAATACGTCATCTCCTTCGTCGACTATTTTGCTACCAATCATATAAAAATAATATTTGTTTCATTGTAAACTAAATGATGCTCCCGGCGTCGTTCGTGTTAATATTCATTTTAAGGGTTTAAGAAGAAATTTATGTCCCACTTTAAGATAATTCAACATAGAAAATACGTTTTTAATTTAAACTTTGAATGTACTCACCTAATTATTGCATGTTAATAGTATGAGTACAATGAATTTATTTTTAGAATCGCGTGATATTTGGCAAGAAATACAAAAGTATTTTCGATATTTTGGTCAAGTACAAACATTCGAATTTATCTTAAACTAGCTGTTCCCGTGCGCATCCGCATGAATTTATAAATTATTTATTTTACTGTTTCATCATCAACACCAGCTCACTATACGTCCCCACCGAGGGGCTCGGAGCCTACCCTAATATGGGGTGACTAAGCCATAGTCAACAACGCTGGCCAAGTGCGGGTTGGTTGACTTCACACGTATCTTTGAATTTCTTCGCCGATATGTGCAGGTTGCATCACGATGTTTTCCTTCACTGTAAGACCGTCGGGTAAATTATGTACATATGTAAATTCGAAATATCGAAAATCACATTGGTACACGGCGGGATTTGAACCCAAGAACTGTAGATTACAAGTCAAGTGTTCAAACCCACCGATCATTTATCAAATTATCAATAGCAAATGTCAAAATGAGATGACATGATAAACCTTAGCTTTCTTTCTTGATGCTGGCAGCAACTTATGTCTTCCACATTAGGGTTTTTATCCAAAATATTTACCCTCTAAGTTTAACGGCGTAAAAATATATAGCCTAAAGCATGACGTAAGTATAGGGCTTTTTATTAAAAAGAGAATTATTCAAAAACATGTTGTAATTGCTGACATCTTAGGCAACAAAAGAAATGTGTGTTTACGCTTTATTATAATAGTATAGATTGTTACTGCCTACACCCTAAACGACAATCTATTTTGATTAGTAAAATGTCATTCCATTCGTCTTCTGTCCAGGAGAATCACAGGGTATATTTACACAAAACACTTAATAGACGTGAGAATTAAATTTAAAATAAATAGTTTGTCTATAGTTAAGATTTTGGATGGTATACCTACTGTCTATAACACAAAAAAAAACAAAAACAACAACTAATATCTTCTTATCTATATTTTAATAATATGTAAGAATTCATAAGTATAAAATCGATATAAAAACATCACGTTCAACTAAGGCAGCCATTTTTTGTATCAACACTGTGCCACACTAATTTCAACTCTATGTCAGTGTAATAAATAAAAAATACAAAAAAGCATGGCAACATGAAAACACGGAATTATGATTATTAAATTCAACTTTATTACTAACGTCTTAAAATTGTATATCGAATGATGATTTATAAAATATGTTAGCATGAACACGTGAAATGGAATCTTAAAGCAAGGGAATAAGATATATTTGTGAACGTATAGAAGTTAAAACGGTGGCGTACGTAAGCGCTTTATTTAGAACTGGCGACAAGAAGTCTGTTGTATAAGATTATATTGCTATACATTTGTATGTATACACGTCTTGTTAGAGTTGTCTATACAATTATAATAAAGCGTAAACACACTTCTTTGTTGCCTAAGATGTCAGCAATAACAGCATATTTTGAATAACTCTTTTTTAATAAAAAGGCCTACACTTTACGCTTTAGGCTATATATTTTTACGTCATTAAACTTAAGGGTAAATGTTTTGGATAAAAACCCTAATGTGGGAAAGATACCATAAGTTGCTGCCAACATCAAGGAGGCAAGATTGCTAAGGTTTGTCATGTCATTTTGACATTTGCGATTGTGATTTGTGATAATTGGACAAATGTAAGCAATAAAATGAAATTTTTATAATTTTATGCGGATGAAGTCGCATGGGAACAGCTAGTACAGTAATAAAACTGTTGTTATTAAAAGTATATACTCTGTAACCTTT